CCCCCTGGGGTAGGGCGGGGCCACAATGGAGAATCAATGTTTGAAATAGAAATATATACAGGAAGGTATCTTCTGATGAAGAACTGCAAAGCCATAGCACTAGTCATTTTGATATGGAAGCATCCTCAGGTAGTGTAGATTCAAGTTTGTTAAAATGATGACCCCGGGGGATAGGGATGGGCCACGATGGGGGATCAAAAATTTTACCTAGGAACATATTAGAAAATATCTTCTTCTCATGAAATGAAAATCATGTTTAGTCATTTTGATATGGAAGAATCCTCAGGTAGTGTAAATTCAATTTTTGTTCAAATGATAACCCCCAGGGTAGGGTGGGGCCCAATGGGGATCGAAATTTTTATATAAGAAAAGATAGAAAAAATAACAGAAAAGTTATGTTTGTCATATTGATGTGGAAGAATCCTCGGGTAGTGTAGATTCAAGTTTGTTCAAATGATGACCTCTGGGATAGGGAGGAGGCACAATGGGGGATCAAATTTTTACAAAGGAATATATGGGAAAAAATTTTTAAAATCTTCTCAAGTACAACAAAGCCATTTGTTATATTGACATGGAAGCATCAATAGGTAGTTTAAAATTCCTCCCCCCCCCCCCCCCCCCCCCCCCCCCCCCCGGTAATCTTTTCAATACTGAACTGATTTGTGTCTAGCCAATGTGCTCAGGTGAGCGATGTGGCCCATGGGCCTCTTGTTAACTTCTTCTCAAGAACCACTAGGCCAATTTTAACCAAACTTGGTACAAAGTATCCTTGGGTGAAGGGGAGTGTAAATTGTTAAAATAAAGGGCCAAGTCTCCTTACAAGGGGAGATAATCAAGAATAGACAAAAATAGGGTGGGGTCATTAAAAAATCTTCTTCTCAAGAACCACTGGGCCAGAAAAGCTTAAACTTATGTGGAAGCATCCTGGGATAGTGTAGATTATAAATTGTTAAAATCATGACCCCCTTGGGTAGGGCGGGGCCACAATAGGTATATTAAAAGGGGGGAAATCTGGTAAAGAACAGCATGGCCAAAGTTACTCAGGTGAGCGATGTGGCCCATGGGCCTCTTGTATTAAATAGATTTACAATACATCTTTGATTCCTGACATTTATATTCTTTAAAGCAATACAGTGTTCATCAGACATAGTTGAAAATTAATTTCAGACAACAGAATTCTATAACAACAAAGCCTTGTCCTATGACATCATCAGTGGTTGTACTTGATAATTAATTTCAGACAACAGAATTCTATAACAACAAAGCCTTGTCCTATGACATCATCAGTGGTTGTAAAGACATTCTTCGTGTGCGACAAGTTATCGTCAAACTAATGCAGAAGTGTGAGGGGATCTCTAAAAAGATGGAGACTGTAGTGTCCTGTCTGACCAAGAAAACAGAATTTGATGAAAGCAGTGATGATGATTCGATACAGATTACAAAACAGCCACAGAATCTGTCACCTGGGTAAGTCACAGATAACAAAACAGCCACAGAATCTGTCACTTGGGTAAGTCACAGATTTTATCACCTCAGTAAGTACTCGTAACTATACAGAATCTCTGCTTTCCTTTCCTCTGAACCTGTTTATTTGATGTAGATGTACTAGGAGTGAAACGGTTCACTGCGGTATCGATTCACCGCGGTATTTTTTCTCGGTTTGATACAGGGTGCAAAATCTCTAATTTTCGGTTCGGTTCATTTTTCGGTCGGGATCGCTATTCAGTCGGGTTTGGCATAAGGTAAAACACGTTACTCAGTATAAATAAGTATAGAAAACATAAATTTTTTATGACTGATAGCTTGTAAAATAATTTTTGACAGTCAAATAATTTTAATCAATTTCTTCTAGTCAATTTGCAAATAAAATTTGTAAAATATGTGACTAGATTTAGAAAAAGAAAGCATAAAACAACGTTGAATATGTTTCCTTCTATCAAAATGTATCGTATCGAAAATAACCGAACCGAGACAAAATTATACAATACGTATCGAACCGTGAAGGAGGTGTATCGTTTCACCCCTAAGATGTACACGTATTAATGCTGTTGTCTGTTTCTGTATAGCTGTCAGCTGAAGCCTTTCCAGATGGTGGGACTGAACTGGCTTCGTATCATGCACTCCCAGCACCTGAATGGCATCCTGGCTGATGAAATGGTAACATGAGTATTAATGCTTATGTGTATTGCCAGCTAACAAAGTTATTTGTTTTTTTAAAATGATATGAGTGGTTCTGTTTACATGTATTGACAGCTCAAAGTTATATGTTTTTAAATAAACTGATTACCTTTCATGCAAATTTACTGTGTGAATGAAAAGAACAACAGATTATATTGTGGAATATATGTACAGTAAATTTCTTTTGAACATACGTTTTTAGCAAAGTTGACCTGTTTAGTGTACGATATATGACTTATTATTTTTATGTACATCATCAGGGACTTGGTAAGACAATACAGACGATTGCTTTTATTGCTCATCTGCTGGAGGAAGGAGAGACTGGGCCCCATGTTGTTATTGTTCCCTCATCAACTATAGGTAATATCTCACATAGGTAATATCTCATACAGGTAATATATCACACAGGCAATATCTCACAATGTAATATCTCATATAGGTAATATCTCACATAGGTAATATCTCATACAGGTAATATCTCACACAGGTAATATCTCACAGGTAATATCTGGTAATATCTCATACAGGTAATATCTCACAGAGGTAATATCTCACATAGGTAATATCACATACAGGTAATATATCACACAGGCAATATCTCAGGCAGGTAATATCTCACATACGTAATATCTCACATAGGTAATATCTCATACAGGTAATATCTCACATAGGTAATATCTCACATAGGTTATATCTCACACAAGAATATCTTATACAGGTAATATCTCAAGTAGGTAATATTTCACACAGGAAATAACTCACACACAGGTAATAACTCACACAGGAAATATTTCAAACAGGTAATTTCTCACTTAATATCTCAACAGGTAATATCTCACATAGGAAATATCTCACACAGGTAATATATCAGGTAATATTTTTTACATACATACCATAGCTTAAATCTTGCATACACACCAAAGGTAAGAACAATAACAATGTCTTATGTACACATATATACACACATGTCCCAAAGTACAGTGGTGCTAGTCTACTTCAGAGGCCATCAGTTTAACTTTGATCCTAGAGTGTATGAACCTGTATATTTTATGTTTCAATTCAACAGAGAATTGGATTACAACAATTCTAATAGTACCTATACATTGTGTTCTACACAACAATTCTTATAGTAGCTATACCTTGTGTTCTACACAACAATTCTTATAGTAGCTATACATTGTGTTCTACAGAGAACTGGATTACAACAATTCTTATAGTACCTATACATTGTGTTCTACAGAGAATTGGATTACACCAATTCTTATAGTAGCTATACATTGTGTTCTACAGAGAATTGGATGAGGGAGTTTGAGACTTGGTGCCCTGAGGTTAACCTCCTTGTGTATTATGGTTCTATGGAGGATCGTCGTCAGAGTCGCATGTCACTTCTTTATGATTCCAACTCTCGGTACAATGTCGTTCTTACAACGTAAGTATACAATTCCAACTCTCAGTACAATGTCGTTCTTACAACGTAAGTATACAATTCCAACTCTCCGTACAATGGCATCTTTACAACGTAAGCATACAGCCTTTTTGTTATTCAAATTCCATTGTGATGTCACAAATCGAAGTTTAAAATGTCAACTTTTATTTGTAAAAGTGAGTAACAGCTAAAGTCTATTTAATGGACTTGCCAAGTTGATTTTATTGTTCATGGCATATTTGGATAATTAAAATCACTTTATTGAAGAGTCCTTTGTGGGACTAATTTTATGTAAACAATGTTATCACTGACTTTATAATTTTAGTCCTATATATTCAAGAGACATTTTACTTTAATTTTTATACTACATTCCAGCACATCTTTGTTGTTTTCCAGATACAACATGGCCACTGGAAGTGTAGAAGACCGGGCATTGTTTAAAAAAGTGAATTTCCATTACGCAATCTTTGATGAGGGTCACATGTTAAAAAACATGTCCTCTTTACGCTACCAGAACTTAATGAAAATAGCAGTAAGTTTCAAGTACAAGATTTTTTTCTGGACACTCTGACTGTATACTGTAAACCAACTATTATTCCTGTCATCTTTTATTCACAATTTATCCGTTTAAAATTAATTTTCACAACTGAGGAAACATTCTCTACAAATACAAAGCAAAATAAATGGTTCGCAGCGATTAATATTCGCAAGTAAAAGTAGGTTGCGAAACTCGCAGACATTTCTCGCATGCAAATAAAAGTTGGTTTACGGTAACTAGAGCTGAATGTAAACATACACTTGCATACAAATGTAAAACCTATTAGAATTCAGTGTCTACATAAACAAAGGCAGAATATTATGGAACACTCATAGCCTTATTTAAGCCTATAGATTATGTCTAAATTTAAAGTTCCTCTGTAAATACACATATACAAACCTTAAAAATGAAACAAATTGGTATACATGTATTAATGATAATTACAATAAATAGAAATTCTTTTCATCACAATGATTTTTTTCCAGGCAGAACGCCGTTTGTTACTGACGGGGACGCCCCTACAGAATAACCTGTTGGAACTGATGTCTCTGTTGTGTTTTGTAATGCCAGAAATCTTCAGTGGAAAAACTGACCAATTAAAACAGATGTTCTCCATGATCAATGTAAGAAATAAGTGCATTGTCTTCATCTTGGGTTCTGGCACCAAGACCATAAACTGAGAACAGACTTAAGGTATTCCATCCCTAATAGCCTCAGATTCAATGAATTTGAAAACATAAGAGATGTGTGCAGGTGGAATACTTAGTTTATTTAGACATAATTCCCATTTATTACCATAAGCATGTAAGAATAGAGCGTGTCCTAATTTATGACCTTGACCTTTGTTGAAGAGTTATCTCCCTCTTTTTTTAAGTAATAAAAATCGATTTAAAAAATTTATACGGTAGAAAAACTATTTTCAATTGTCACTCTATTTCTAATGATTTAATCCGCATCTTTCCACCACTGTATTTATTGATATTATTATTATTTGAATTTTTATTTTAGAAAAAATTCACTTGTCATGTCTCGATAGACTTCAATGCAATTTCTGTTCATTAATTACTGTTTAGTTAATTACATTTTTGAAACTTTCTCTTGGTAAATCCTTTTCTACTGTAAAATGCTTTGAATCAATATCAGAGTACTATATATGTGATGGATATTAAGGATAGAGAATTAGGTTCTATTAGGGATGGAAAACCTTAAGTCAAAATTTCAAACCAATATAACTTTTGAAATAATTTTGATAATGAAACGAAATTTTCATCACATATTTGAATTTAAATGTTATATAAAATTGCAAATTTTTAAACATTAAATAAAACTCAAGATATTAAAAATCAAATTTTTGACTTAAGTCTATTCTCAGTTTATGGTCTTGAGGCCAGGCCTCAGAATTGATTCCTTATTTTAAGGTGATTTCTCAATATTTTATCATTATTAATAAAGATATGTGTGGTTTCTTTATACAGAGAGGAGTTGATGATAAAGCCAAAAGTAAATATGAAAGGGAGAGAATTCAGCATGCCAAGAGAATCATGAGACCATTCGTTTTACGGAGGCTTAAGTCTGAGGTTAATCTCTTGTTATATTGAAAACCCCTTAGTTAGAAGAGCTTATTTCATGAAAAGTAATGATTTGCTTCACTGTAATAGATTGAAGAAAGAAGAACATGTACATGTATTTTAAGCATTCATGTTTGCTGACATTATTTTAATCCATGCTACTTCAAACTTCTTTACAGCAAAATACATTTACAGAAAACATGCATAAAACAAATACATAATTATCAGAAAGTCACATTTTTTCACCAAACTAATGAATATATGAATAGGATATTGTAAATGTAGAATATAGCAAAGCAATTTTAGAAATTCTGGATTACTGTGGCAATTCCCTATATGTTTTACTTTACTGAAATGTACATGTATGAGTAAGATATTTATTAATTGAAAGCAAATTAAGGCAGAAGCAAAATTCTCCTTTGTAGCATAAATTGTCCTTTGAAAGGGAGCTTTGATATTGATAACCTAGAATTGACCTGTTTCTGTAGGTCCAGCGACAGCTACCCCAGAAGAAGGACCGGGTCCTGTATTGTGAACTAATTCCCCAGCAGAGGGCGCTGTACCAACAGCTGATCACAAAATTCAAACAGGTCATAAAGGACGACCAGGTCAAGGAATCGCGGGATGGAGCCTCCATGTTGATGCAGCTGAGGAAAGCATCCAATCACCCGCTTTTGTTACGGAACCATTACACTGAAGATAAACTGATGAAGATGGCCAAGCAACTCACAAAGGTAAGGGTTCTTACTGCTTATTGTAACCCAAAAAACTTTTTATAACAGCACATCAAGGTAAATTATTTAAAACTACAGCCAATGATAATGACTTGTACTATTTATAGAAGAACTCGCCCAAGTTTATAAGGATAATTCTCTTGCCCACATGGATGAGAATCGATTTCCAATCGTAGAACCGCTCACAAAGATGAGATTTATAAATATTTAAAAAAAAAACTGCATGTCAATGTAAAGATTTTTTTGTGAGGTACATATGTATTGGTTATAGATGTGGTCATCAATGTGAGGTACATTGTCTCTGACATGTAGATAAGAATGTCAGTATTTTGTTACAGGAACCTTCCCACAGAGAGAGAGGGGCACTGGCTGAGCTGATTCATGAGGACATGATGGTCTTAAATGACTATGACATCATGAAGCTGTGTGACCAGTACAAGGTAGGAAGTGAGGGGAACTAACAAAATCAGACAAGGGAGGGAACCAGTAATAGTCTGACAAGGGAAGGAACCAGCAATAGTCTGACAAGGGAGGGAACCAGTAATAGTCTGACAAGGGAGGGAACCAGTAATAGTCAGGCAATGGAGGGAACCAGTAATAGCCTGACAATGGAGGGAACCAGTAATAGTCAGACAATGGAGGGAACCAGCAAATGTCAATTTAGAGAAAAAGGGAATAGGAAAAAATACATACGAAGATTAAGGTGCATGTACATGTAGTACTGTAAACACACTTTTTTCATGGGGCCATAATTCTGCGGTATCACAATTTCTGTTCAGTTCATGGGTAGAAAATTTTTTGCTGATTTGTATGTCTTCTGTGCACTATTAGTATGCTGTAACAAATTTCCTGGTATATTTGTGACTGCATACATAGTAATTTCAAGAGGAAAAATATATAGGTCTTCAGTATTTGAAGAAAAGTAGCATTTAGAGATTAAGCCATGTATGAATTCTTTCACTATTTTTATGCTATTTTCAGAAATATATAGGAAGTTACAAACTAGATTCTCAAGTCATAATGGAGTCAGGGAAATTCAGGGAACTGGAGAAACTTCTGGAAACTTATGAATCTCAGGTAACATAAAGGTGTTCACAGGTAAAAGACAGGTGTTCTCAGGTAACATAAAGGTGTTCACAGGTAACATACAGGTGTTCTCATGTAACATAAAGGTGTTCTTAGGTAATGTACAGATGTTTTCAGGTAACATACAGCAGGGGCTTCGACAAAGATTCGGCAGGGGCGGCATTCGCCGCCCCAATGATTTTGCAAAAAAAAAAGAAAGTTTACAGATTTATTCTGTTTTAGGGAGACAGAGTTTTACTCTTCAGTCAGTTTACAATGATGATGGATATAATGGAGGATTTTTTAAAGACCAAGAATTACTCCTACCTACGTCTGGACGGCTCTACACCTGTACCAGAAAGGTCAGTTTTATAACTCGTCTACACTGGTACCAGAAAGATCAGTTTTACAGCTCATCTTCACAGGTACCAGAAAGGTCAGTTTTATACCTTGTCTCCACTGGTACCAAAAAGGTCAGTTTTATAGCTCATATAGCTTTCCTACACCAGTACCAGAAAGGTCACATTTGTAGCTTGTTAACACTGGTACCAAAAATGTCAGTTTTGTAGTTCGCCTTCACTGGTACCAAAGAGATCAGTTTTATATCTCGTCTATACTGGTACCAGAAAGGTTCGTTTTATAGCTTCATCTTCAGTTTGTCAGGACAGGAGATAGATCTATGGTGCTCTGTAGAGGGGAAAAGGGGGAGTCAAAAGAAATTTTTTAAAATTGTAAATATGTATCAATGTATCATTTTTCTTTTAGACAAGAATTGATAGACAAGTTCACCAAAGATGAGAGTATATTCATCTTTATGTTGTCTACACGAGCCGGTGGTTTGGGGATCAATCTAACAGCAGCTAACGTGGTCATCATCCATGACATCGACTTCAACCCGTACAATGATAAACAAGCCGAAGATCGGTGTCACAGGGTGGGACAGACCAGGTCAGTTCTATGCAGACAGGCAGACTAATGTAGTCATTATAAACAGTCCGTACAATGATAAACAAGTCGAAGATCAATGTCAGCGGGTCGGGCAGACCAGGTCAGTTATATACAGAGAGACAGACAGACTAATGTAGACATTGTAAACAATCCGTACAATGATAAACAAGTCGAAGATCAATGTCACAGGGTAGGGCAGACCAGGTCAGTTATATACAGAGAGACAGACAGACTAATGTAGACATTGTAAACAATCCGTACAATGATAAACAAGTCGAAGATCAATGTCACAGGGTAGGGCAGACCAGGTCAGTTATATACAGAGAGACAGACAGACTAATGTAGACATTGTAAACAATCCGTACAATGATAAACAAGCTGAAGATCAATGTCACAGGGTAGGGCAGACCAGGTCCGTTATATACAGACTCTCTGGGTGGGGCAGACCAGGTCAGTTATATACAGGGAGACAGACTAATGTAGTCATTGTTAACAACCCGTACAATGATAAATAAGCCGCAGATTGGTGTCACAGGGTAGGGCAGACCAGATCAGTTATATACAGACTCACTGGATGGGGCAGACCAGGTCAGTTATATACAGACTCACTGGTTGGGGCAGAGAGACAGACTAATGTAGTCATTGTTAACAACTCGTACGATGATAAACAAGCTGAAGATTGATGTCACAGGGTATAGGGCAGACCAGGTCAGTTATATACAGACTCACTGGGTGGGGTAGACCAGGTCAGTTGTATACAGACTCACTGGGTGGGGCAGACCAGGTCAGTTATATACAGACTCACTGGGTGGGGCAGACCAGGTCAGTTATATACAGACTCACTGGGTGGGGTAGATCAGGTCAGTTATATACAGAGGGAAGACAGACTAATGTAGACATAATAAACAAGCATATAATGATAAATAGGCCGAAGGTAGATGTCACAGGGTCGGGCAGACCAGGTCAGTTACAGACAGACAGACTGATATTTACATCCAGTTCGTTATCTTTACATCAAATTAAAGGGTGAAGGGAAAGGACCTGAGAAATATTTTTGCAAAGTTTTCCTTAATATTTTGTTAGGAAATTATTATGAAAAAAAGTACATAAGATTGTAGATACACTGGTAGTGAGACCAGAGAGATAGTTTTAAAGCTAAAGTGATAATATGGTGTACTGATATGAAATCCTTAATGCCAAACTCTACCTCAGTCATACTCTCCTTAGATACATACAGTCAAACCTCGTTATCGCAAACTCGATGGGACCGAGAAAAAAACAATTTGAGATATCGGAGGGTTTGACATATTGAGGGTAATTTACTTAAGAAATACGTGGTTAGGACTTCTCATTCACTTCAACATATCCATGGTATTCAAGATATCTGTGTTTGAGATACCGAAGTTCAACTGTATTTGTATTTTAACTATGGACCTACAGTTTTTATATCTGGAATGCATATGCTTTTGGAATAGACTTATCATCTGTCTGAAGTTTTCTTCGTTAGAGAAGAGTCAGAAATTCCAATTTATTTTTCTTAATTTTGATTTATTGTGACAGGGAGGTGTCAGTAATCCTTTTTTATTGTGACAGGGAGGTGTCAATAATTCTTTTTTATTGTGACAGGGAGGTGTCAATAATCCTTTTTTATTGTGACAGGGAGGTGTCAATAATTCTTTTTTATTGTGACAGGGAGGTGTCAGTAATTCTTTTTAGGTCACCTGAGTCACTCAGGTGACCTATTGCTATCCGTTTTTGTCCGTCGGCGTGCGTCGTGCGACGTGCGTCGTGCGATGTGCGTTAACATTTGAACATTTTTAGCTTCTTCTCTGAAACCGCTCTACCAATTTCAACTAAATTTGGCATATAGCATCTATGGGTGAAGGGGAACAAAAATTGTGAATTTCATGGTCCCTGCCCCCCTGGGGCCTGAGGGGTGGGGCTAAAACCACCAAAATTAATGCAATCTTTAAAAATCTTCTTCTTTACTCCTGGACATCAAGCAGTCAAACTGTTGGCATCATTGTAATAAGCATTGAGTCCTTTACCAAAATTGTGAAATTCATGGCCCCAGGGTCAGGGGTTCTGGTGCTAGGGCCGGGCTATATAGATCACATAGTGAAAGTGCATTATTTCTTTGAAAATCTTCTTCTCTGCTCCTGGGTATTAAATAAACTAACTAAGTATATAGTTATGATGAGTAAGAGTGCCTCTTCCAAAATTGTGAAATTCATGGCCCCAGGGGCAGGGGTTCTGGTGTTAGGGTTGGGCTCTATTGATTATATAGTGAAAATGCATTAGTTCTTTGGAAATCTTCTTCTCTGCTCCTGGGTATTAAATAAACTAACTAAGTATATAGTAATGATGAGTAAGAGTACCTCTTCCAAAATTGTGAAATTCATGGCCCCAGGGGCAGGGGTTCTGGTGTTAGGGCGGGGCTCTATTGATTATATAGTGAAAATTCATTAATTCATTGAAAATCTTCTTCTCTGCTCCTGGGTATTAAATAAACTAACTAAGTATATAGTTATAATGAGTAAGAGTGCCTCTTCCAAAATTGTGAAATTCATGGCCCCTGGGGCAGGGGTTCTGGTGTTAGGGCGGGGCTCTATTGATTATATAGTGAAAATGCATTAATTCATTGAAAATCTTCTTCTCTGCTCTTGGATATTAAATAAACTAACTAAGTACATAGCTAGGATGAGGAAGAGTGCCTCTTCCAAAATTGTGAATTTCATGGCCCCTGGGTCAGGGGTTCTGGTGTTAGGGCGGGACTCTATTGATTATATAGTGAAAATGCATTAATCCTTTGAAAATCTTCTTCTCTGCTCCTGGGTATTAAATTCAGTAACTAAGTACATAGTTATGATGAGCAAGAGTGCATCTTTCAAAATTTTGAATTTCATGGCCCCTGGGTCAGGGGTTCTGGTGTTAGGGTTGGGCTCTATTGATTATATAGTGAAAATGCATTAATTCTTTGAAAATCTTCTTCTCTACTCCTGGGTATTATTGAAACACATTAAATACATAGTTATGATAATCAAGGATGCCTCTTTCAAAATTGTGAAATTCGTGGCCCCTGGATCAGGGGTTGTGGTGTTAGGGTGGGGCTCTATTGATTATAAAGTGAAAATGTTTTAATTCTTTAAAAATCTTTTTCTCTGCACCTGGGTATTATTTAAACAAACTAAGTACATTGTTATGATAAGCAAGGATGCCTCTTCCAAAATTGTGAAATTCATGGCCCCGGGGACAGGAGTTCTGGTGCTAGGGCGGGGCTATATAGATCCTATAGTGAAAGTGAATTATTTCTTTGAAAATCTTCTTCTCTGCCCCTGGGTATTGCTTAATCAGACTAAAGTACATTGTTATGATACACAAGGATGCCTCTTCCAAAATTGTGAATTTTATGACCCCAGGTTTAAGGGTTCTGGTGGAAGGGGGGAGGGGGGGGGGCTTCTATTGATTATAAAGTGAAAAATCAAAATTTCTTTGAAAATATTCTTTCTTCTTCTGGTTAAAAAAGCAAAGAAGCTAAGTGTATAGTTATGATGAGCAAGTGTGCTTCTTCCAGAGTAGTGAATTTCATGACCTCTGGGTCAGATGTGCTGGTGTGAGGATGGGGCTCTTGATAATTTAGTGAAAATGCATTAATTCTATTAAATAATCCTGTTTGCTCCTTAGTGTTAAGCAGATAAACAAAGTGATGATGAGCAAACATATGGTCCAAGGGTCAGAAGCTCTGGTGTTTTGGGGGTGGGGGGTTGGGGGGGGGGCTCTATTGATAATATAGTGAATCTGTAGTAAAAATGCATTATTTATTTAAAAATCTTCTCCGCACCTGGGCATATCTGAGGCAAACAGAGTAAAAGTTTTTATAAGGAAGGGAATTTTTACCAGATTTTTGAACATCTGGACCATTTGGTCAAGTGTTCTGGTCCTGGCCAGGGCTCTATTAGTTAAATTCTACTGAGAGGAGTTATTCCCCTTTGCCATTTACTTTTGATAATTTATCACTGTAAATAATGTACTTGAAAGGTAAATAGAACAAGAGAATTATGCAAAAACTTTTATTGTATAATACAAAAAGTACTTCCATAGTTTTAATGATCAGATAGACTTGTAAGTAGTAGATAAATAAAAATGAGACAAAAATAACTTGTCTTGTTAAATATTCATCAAAGACCAAGAGATGCCAATGTAAGAGATTTCAACAAAGGATTAAAATAGTACAGAAGCATTGATAATTTGTTAACATACTGTATGGTGATAGTGATAAATAGGGAACAGATTAGAACCTAATTTATGAACTGTTAATGAATATTAAGACCAATTATTTTGTTGATCATGATCACCCTATTTTTCTTGCTTTTGGGCAACAAAGCTTCACCTTTCAGTTCATTTTATACTCTATGCATCCTTGAAATTGTTGTATCATACTCAGGTGACCGTTAAGGCCCTTGGGCCTCTTGTTTCAGGGAGGTATCAATAATTCTTTTTTATTGTGACAGGGAGGTATCAATAATTCTTTTTTATTGTGACAGGGAGGTGTCAATAATTCTTTTTTATTGTGACAGGGAGGTGTCAGTAATTCTTTTTTATTGTGACAGGGAGGTGTCAATAATTCTTTTTTATTGTGACAGGGAGGTGTCAATAATTCGTCTGATCAGTAAAGACACAGTAGAGGAGGGTATGTTGAGATGTGCTCGAGACAAACTCAAACTGGAGAAAGACATAACAACTGATGAAAGTAAGATATACATAATAATCACAACTTACTCCTCCTTTTATTTACTTGTACTGATGTGTTGTTCAGGGAGAATGTAAAGATGAAATGCTCTTTGTAAAAAAAAATTCTCTTGGATTGTGGTTGAACATTATTAATAGTAAGTTATGATTAGCTTAAAACTTTTGTAATTGTAAAATTAAAAGTAAAATTGTGAAATACAATGCATTGAGAATGGTTATAAGATTAAGATTCTCTTACAGGTACAGATAAAGAAAATCCGTCAGATGTGGCATCTCTCCTCAAAGGGGCTCTGGCCGACAGTTCTTGACCCCAGTTGAACTCTTAGTCTGCCAATCACAACTCATATTATAAAGTTCACGACCTCAGAACAAACTCTCATCAAAAAATCAAATGTCAAAAAAAAAAAACAAAACATTTTACATATCTTTGAACCATAAAATGTGAAGGCTGGTTGAGGAGTTATATTTGTGTATGATGGAACTATAATTGGATGATGTTATAAAGTTTGATTCCTCGAAATGAAAACAATGCATGTCTGTGTATTCTAATGTAATGAATTTAAAGCCATGAGAGCACAGGCAACGAATCATTGGAATATAATCCGGCAGAAGCATCATATTTCTCTTAGAAGATTGTAAAGGTCCACTTTGAAGATTGTAAAGGTCCAATTTTGTGCTTTAGTCACAGAAGAAAGAAGAGTGCAAGGAATCCTGGGATAATTTTGAGACAGCAAGGAATGCTGGGAAAACTATTCTGTGTCAAAACTGTTTATATGATGGTGTATGTACAGTGTTGTGTATGTAAAACTGTGGAGGTGTAAAGTGAGTTGTTGTCACATTGGACTTGTATGAATCGAAATGTGTGTACATAACTTCAGATCTTTCAGAACAAATCAGGACTTCCCCCTACAGGGGATATACATGTAGCTATACCCAGTACTGTATACAATGATGGTATACCATTTTAGAAATGTCAAAAGCAGAGGAGTGCAAAGCCTTCATCAAGAAACTCTGTTTTAATTGAGGTACAGAACAAAATAAAAGTGCTATTTGATACTTTCTGTCAACATTAGGCCATTCCAAGTTTCTCTATGTAAAGTATCTTGATTTTGGACACTTCATACCAGGAAAAGACGTATTTCTTATAGTCCATGTAGTCAGTAGATTTTTTTTTTATTTCAATAACCTTCTGAATAGTAATTATACCCCCACTCCAGAGGAGAGGGGGTATGCTGTTTTACCCTTGTGTGTCCTTCTCTTTGTGTGTCTGTCCGTAACAAATTTTCGTCGCAGTTTTCTCAGCAACTACTCATCACAGATGATTGAAATTTTAGCACACTGTTTGTTTAGGCATGCCATATGGTGGGATTCATTTTTGTGCGAATCCGATGTCAACTTCCTGTTTATCCTTGCATCTGTCCACACCATACATAACAAATTTTGGTCACAGTTTTCTCAGCATCTACTTATTGCAGATGCTTGAGAGTTTAGCACACTCTTTGTTTAGGCATGTCATATGGCGGAATTTATTTTTGTACGAATCTGATGTCAACTTCCTGTTTATCCCTGTTTCTGTCCATAAATGAACTTGTGTATTTACATCAGAGCAGGGGTATTATTAGTGAGCATTGGCTCACAGACTTCTTGTTTCTTTTGTATTAAAATGAATAAAATGAATAATTTGCTACTGATATCTGTCTCATAAAATTAGAATATGACGAAGCCAAATTAATTATTAATATGATTGATAACTACATGTAAATGTTAATTACAAAATATTTTGTATAAATGATTACGTAATATATAAACACATATTACTTGTGGTCTGAAACTGCCAACTACTTGATTAAATTTATACTTCTTAAAGAAGTAGGTACATTTTTGGCTATATTGTACCCTAAATATTTAATGTTTTCAAAAAGTTTTGAAATTGACTTAAATATGAGTTGAGTGAACGAATGTGTTAAAAAATGCATGAAAGAATATGAGTGGCATGAAGGAGGACCATTCTGAAAATTGATGTCAATAATTTGGTACATTTCTAAATTTTAAACAGAAAAATCCTTAAATTGACTAATTTCAGGGAGTATTTTCCTCAATAAAATAAAGACTATAGCCATCACTTAAATCAATTTTTTTGATTAGCATTTAGGAGGTCATATAAGAAAAATTGAGTTATAATTTCCTTTGTCACTTTCATAATTTAGAAAATACAGGGCCAGATTTGTATTGAAACTGCACCTTGTTCTTTAATTAAGTTCTGACCCCCATGAAATCAAATCCTTGAATGTGACTTCATAGTTTGTGTTTTGTCAGTTGGTAGGTAGGTTGCATACTTATCAAAGACAAAAAAAACTTGGAATGGCCTTATCTAAGTTATAATATTGTAAACATTCCGTAAAATCTGTTAATTTCTATCAAACAGCTGTTATTCAGGATACGTCACTTTGAAATCCATCCCTGACTTTAAAATTTTGGTAAGTAGAGGAAGAACTATTTCTTGCACACAACAGTCGGTTAACAGTATGTATTGTAGATCAGTGATTAACATGAACGATGAATCGTATCAATATGTGAACAACTGTTAAAAGTATAGATTCTTTCAACATGTAAAAAATAAAAGTCTGTAGTAAAAATTTTGGATGGAGATTACAGAATGTGTTCTCTTTGTCAGTTTATCAGCAAAAATATCTCAGTGTATCAGCAAGATATCTCCATTATTATACCCCCAGCAAACGAAGTTTAGGGGGGTATATTGGAATCAGCATGTCCGTCTGTCTGTAGACGAGATTTTGTCTGGACCATTTCTTGGAAACTGTTTTGTCTGAAAATTTGTACACTTATTATTCACCATATGAAGGTGTGCACCTGATATTTTCATCATGATTGGATAATTTTTTTGCATTTTACAGGTGTTTTTTTCATTTTTATTATGTGGTGTTGTCCAGATCTGTTCCCAGAGACTATTGCATAGATTTGTATGAAAATTTGTACAGTTATTATTTACCATATGAAGATGCGCACCTGGTATTTTCAACATTATTTGATAATTTTTCTGCATTTTACAGGTGCTTTTTTTTTTTTTCCCCCATTTTTATTGACTTAGTCATTTTGGGTTCATGTCTAAGGTTTGAGACATAGAATCTAGAACATCTTTACAAAAATTGTGAACTACAGCTTAAAACTACTCATTAGAACTAAAAAAAAATCACAAAGTATTAAAAACAGTTTTAACATTACACAGCAGATAGTGTAAATCCATTTGTTCCTTGGGAGTAATGAGTTGACATGCATCCAGTTAAAGATTAATTGATGAGTTCAGTGTGGGAAGCTGTTAGGGCATCTCTGATCAAGCAGGTCTTATCTATTATCTCCTGGAAATTGGGCAGAAAGAAATAAAGATCTCTGTTGTCTAAGTCTCTTCTTTGTAATTTATATCTGTCAAAATACATAGTTACTGGAACCAGCCTTTTATTTTTAAAATGAGTTTGATATAAAGGTATTAAGATCAATTTGATTTTGTATAATTAATTATGATTTTTTTTTCAACAATCAATTTGCAGAGTGTCATGTCTCACAAAGATGACAGATAGTTGCAAACTATTTTTTCAATGTAATAAAAAATACTGTAATTATTAGTATTGATGTTTTATTAGGCTGCACCTTAGTTTCATTCATTAAAAAAATATAATGAGTAATTTCACTCTAAATGTTTAAGCAAATTGTGAACACCTCTCACATCTAGAAAACATTAGTGATTTGGTACCTTCTCTGAAAAACCCAGCGGGGGGTATTTGTCCCTTTTGGACAGTTCTAGTTCAGGTAGATATCTCTGGTCACCATATCAGCAGGATATCTCAGTCTGTTGTCAAGATATTTAGAGTCTATCAACAAGATATCTGTCAGTAAGATATCTCAGTCCCTATGCATGTGTCTCGGTGTATCAGTAGGATACATTCAAACCTTGTTATCTAGAATATTGATGGGACCAAGTTTAAACAATGAGATATCCAAGTATTCTATTGAACAAGGGAAAAAAAACAAAAAGAAAATGCCCTTGGGACTTTCCAACTCACTTCAACATATCCTTGGTATTGGAGGTAGTGTTTGAGGTGACAAAGTTTAATTGTTTATTAGTGTATCAGTAAGATATCTTGATTTATCAACAAGAATACTAGTCTCTAAGCAGGTACTTGGTCTATCAGCATGATTTTCTCAGTATATCAGCAAAATATTTGTCTTTCAGCAAGATCAGTGTATCAACAAGAAGCAGTTAAGCAACATGATATCTCGGTCTATATAGATATCAGTCTATCAGCGAGATATACCAGTAAGATATCTCAGTGTATCAGCAAGATATCTCAGTTTATCAGCATGATATTTTTGTGTATCAGCAAGATATCTCAGTTTATCAGTATGATATTTTTGTGTATCAGCAAGATATCTCAGTTTATCAACATGATATTTCAGTGTATCAGCAAGATATCTCAGATATCAGCATGATATTTCATTGTAACAGCAAGATATCTCAGTTTATCAACATGATATTTCAGTGTATCAGCAAGATATCTCAGTTATCAGCATGATATTTCAGTTTATCAGCATGATATTTCAGTTTATCAGCATGATATCTGGGTTATCAGAATCATATCTCAATGTATTAATAAGACATTTCAGATACCAGAAAGATAGCAGTGTTAGCTCAGTGTACTAGCAAGTTATCTGCCAGTAAGATATCTCAGTGTAACAGCAAGATGCTTCACTGTAAGCAAAATATATCAGTTTATCAACGAGATGTATAAGTTTATGAGCATGATTTCACTGGGTAGTAACAGCATAACTCAAAGACTTACGAACAAATTTATAAACTAATAAAGAAAAGTATAAAATTTAGCTAAAAATGGATTTGGAGCTCGATAAATAGTAATCGAGAGTAGAACCTGCTAATTAAACAGTTACTACATAAAAATCCTTTGTAAACAAAGATACATAGCGGGTTCGAGTAAAGGTTCTACCAAGTCTTTTTCTTTACTACTCACTAAAACATTAACAGGAGTGAAGATTGTATAAAGTGTTGAAGAGTCGTACGTTTTGATATGTTATTGATTTTGGTCAAATTATGCGATTTCAAATTTTCTAAACGTGCCTTGGAGTTTTTAAATACACATCTGATTTACACCGACTTCTTGAATACCATTCCCCATGATATATTAAAGTCCAGGCTTTTTGACATAGACAGCTGCTTTTTCAATAAAAATGATACTCCTAAATTTACTTACCTTGTCATTGCATGGTCATTTGCAAAATTATTTTCTAATTGTACACACAAGTACTCCAAAGATGATATTAAAAGGATGCTTGAGTTTCTGTTTGACAATATCTATATAGTTTTGGAGATCAAGTCTTCAACAATCTGCCGGAATTTCCATGGGTACCAATTGCGCCCCTTTATTAACAGACCTTTTTTTTTTTACATTCATATGAAAATGCACAGGCCTCTAAGTGACCTCTAAAATTTAAGCGCCAGCTGGCTCCTAATCCAAAATATTTAGTCTCCAATGCAAATTTTTAGTCGACAGGCAAATTTTTTATGCGCCAATTTTAAAAGCTAATATTAGTCAATATACGCACCTATTGGGGCGACATGGGAGGGGTCTTTTGCAATCGTAAAGAAAAAAATCAGCAAGAAATAGAATCCAGCTAAATGCCAACAGGTTTTTTTAAGCAAGTATGTAAAACTCCATCATCTCAACCACTGTCAGGAGTCTTTTTAAGAAACTTGGATCTCATGAAATATTCTTTTAATAATATCAAGAACTGTTAACACGTTTTACATTTTATGCTCGTCCGTACAATTACTACCCAACAGTAATGTCTAGACGATATCTCTAATTAGTGAGAATTTAATTGACAAAGAATTGACCACATCACCCGTCCAATTTACGGTGTGTTCCCGTTTTGCATACATTTGATAATTAGGTATAGAACAATAGGGGTGAAAAACCAGAAATTCAAATGTGTGCAAAACGGGAACAAACCCCCGTTTTGCACACATTTTTTTCAATACCTGAAATTCAAATGTGTGCAAAACGGGAACAAATTAAACCCAATTTACTGTGTTTCTCGATAGTCGATTAATTACCCGGGGCAGCTTATTGTCTTATCTGGTCTACCTGAGCTCTGTGTGCACTGACGCGATACTAAATTTCGTTCGCATGTGCCTGTCTGTTAACAAAAACAAGGTGACAAAGAAAACACAAGATACATGTATGTCCATAGCTGAAAAAAAAAATATTTTCTCCACTTTAAAATTTCTTCTCTTCATAGAAAAATATGAAAGTGTTTGTAGTTCCGGAATTTGATGATCGCCAAGTTAAATTAAAATGGTCGCCAATTTGGCGACTTATAGAGAAATTTTAGGCGCCAATCAAAATTTTAGGTGCCATGGCGACTAAATTAGTCGCCAATTGGAGCCCTGATGCATATATGCATATGGAGTTAATGTCTCCCAGTTGATTCAATACGCAAGAGCATGCTTTACATACGAACAATTTCTAAAACGGGGCAAGCTATTGCCAAACAAGTTGATGAAGCAAGGGTTACTCCAATATGTAGAATCTGCTAACTTAACAGTAAGTAGAGAGTCTAGAGTTTGGAATCTGCTAGCTAAATAACAGTAATTACAAAAGAACTTACGACTAAGATCAAAAACTTTAGATGATTGTAAAATCTTGCACAATCAATGCTTTTATTACAAATTACCTACATAAATACATCTTTCTAAATTCTTTTTAAAAAAACTAAAACCATTTTCTCAATTAAGTAAAAAAAGTTATTTGCAAAATTACATTTTGCTCTTAGTCATAAGTTCTTTTGTAAAACGGGCCCCAGGAGTGTAGTATCTGCTTACTAGAATCAATTTAATAGTAATTCAAAGGTTTTTCCTACTGGTTAACCTTCTATCATGCACTGTATAGAACAAATCGTAATCATATATATAGAGTATAGGGTGTGAGGTACAATTCTCTGATTATGCGTTAGATGTCGATTAACTCAGCTATTCCTACATAAAGAATAGCAACTGGGAATTTCCAAATTCTGCTTGTTTTTCTAGAATTTCCTCCCCAGACATTTTGGATTCTATTGTCCAAGGACCTTCATTCTTTCGACCTTGGAATTATTATGTTGATATTTCTGAATAACATTTATACACTCATGGCTTCTACACGATCCTGTTATAAATGTAGGTTATCAGTAAGCTTGTCTGTCTTCCCTGTAGTTCTATTCTGGTATATAAACTCCAGTCTTGTTTGACTTTTTCATAAGTTATCGTATACATGTCGACCATGTTTCGTGTGGCCTTGGTTTGTCTTTTAGGTGAGTTGTAAACATTATTCTTGATTTATGTTGAATACACATATATGATTTAAACACAGTGTTGCGTGCGGCACAGATTGGAAACTAGAGTTTCTTTGTTCTTGGGGCGAAGGAGCAACAAAGAAAGAAAACGGGAATACAGGGCGAGAGTTAGGGAGATCCGTTGCATTAGTTGTCACCATTGTATTCTTGCCCTGGCGTTTTCGCCCTAGCTTGTTCGCCCCCTGCAATTCCACTGCCTCGCCCTCGTCTTGATCTACT